CCCCGGCTGTCCACGCCAGACACGGCCTCACCCTCCCTGTTAGTTTGTATTTTTTTATTTAAAGCAGGGAATGGGTGGTGGGTGAGTCGCCCTGAAAGGAAAGACGTGCAATAGGGCTCCAGCAGCCCAGGAAGTGGCTCCGGGGATCAGAGCCTGACGAGCCCATCTGCTGACACCGGGACCTCTGGGGTGCACCTCGAAGGCTGCAGGGGCAAGTGATGCTGGGCCTGCCGAGAAGGACTCCGGTGGGGGGCACAGGTGGCCTAGAGGAGCGGGTGGGGCTGGCTCTAGGTTGCTCTGGTGTATGCTGGTCTTCTGTGGGAAAGGCCGGGCACCAGGCCCTCCGGAGACATGGGGACTTGCCCAGGTGCCCCAGAACTGCAAGTGGGCCTGGGTCTCCAGCCCTGGGCAGCTGGAAGGCCACCGTTGGGCTCAGGATACCTGGAGTAGCATTGTGCCTGATGCTCAGTATGGAGTCTGAAATATGCAACAGAAAAAATATATCTTTCTCTCAACTCAGCCTCCTTGCTCCCTCCTCGGCCGGGACACATCCCTGTGGGGCCTTCTCCTAGAAGTCCTGGAGGCTGGGACTCTACCGGCCATCATATGGTGGCGGTCTCATGCCCGCTGAGTGAGACGTGGTCCAGAATTCGCTCAGAAGCTAAGGCCCAAGAAACCCTCGAATCCAGCTCCCTGAGAAGTAAAAGGGTCCAGAGGCAGAGCCGTCTCTGCCATCATCCCCCAGCACTGGCTCCCCACGGCCCAGCCAGGGTAACGGCTGGCCGGGCTTCCTGGCTAGGGATTCTTGGGTCACCCCGACTCGGGCAGCGTGCTCAGGACTGAGGTCCCAAGGGTCTTGGCCCTGTATGGACAGGAAGCGGCAGGTTCCTGGTCACTGGGAGGGGTTGTTGGAAAGGTGTGCCCAGACTCTGGACCCACTATGCACACCTTAAGGCTGGGGTAAGGGTGAAGATCTCTTAGATCTTTAAAATCACTTTCTCAACCAGCCGTACCAGGTTGGTCCCCTCAGCTTGGGGAACAAAGGGCCCAGATCCAGCCCAGGCTGCCACATGGCCAGGATAGTGGAGGGCCGACCTTGTGGTGGGGTCCTGGCTGCTTGCCCGTGCCAGCTGGGGACTGCCTTTTGGGCCTCCATCTCCCCTGCCCCTCAGAGCCCTCTGAGGCAGGGGCAGAGACCCGCTGGGCATGGTCAACGGATTTGCAGCTCGATCTCCAGGGAGACCAGATTGGGTTCTGGGACTACGGGCGACGATGCTTTGGTTCCTGTCAGAAGAGGGGAGCCCTGGTGGTACAGTGGGCAAGCGCTCATTTGTTAAGGGAAAGGCCGAAATTCAAACCTACACAGCTGCTGCTCTGCAGATAGACAATGACGCTTGGCCACCTGCTGCCTCAGGAAATGGACACGAGCCGCTGTGAACCGTCCTCAATGGCCCCCCTCAGCTGAAGGGACAGTTCAAGTCCTGCAGGGCTTTAAGTATATCTCTATGATCAATTCTTAGGTCCAGAACAAAATGCATCTGGGGTTCAGCACCTGAGTCCATTTAGACACTAAGGGGTGGGGGTCACCAGCCAACCTGTGGCCAGATCAACCCACAGTCATGCCGGGAGACAAGCCCAACACCTCCACGTGAAATACTTATTTTGAACTTGGGTGGGCTGTGTGCTGGTCCCTCCCACCCCCTTCCCACTCACCAGCGTTACACCAGGCCTGCTGCCGCCAGGGTCTGGTTTAACGGCCTGACGGGCAGCCCCAGGGGCTTCTCAAACAGTTGACTGAACACCCTGCTGCTTGGGCCCCCAAGGCCACCTCACTGGCAGAGAAGCCTGCAGGCCCTGCTGGACACCGGGCAGGCCCAGCTTCCAGGTTCAGGCCCTTTCTCTGCCTGATCCCCAGCAGTGCCCTTGCCCCCACTACTTACAGAGGAGCTGGGGCTTTGGGCAGCTTTGATGCCCTCCCCTGGCTGGGCCCCTGGGTCGGGATCAGGATTCAGAGTGGCTGGCAAGGCCCAGAGTGGAGGTGGGGGCGTTGCACCCTTCCTTCAGCAGGGAGGTTGAGGGCAGGGTGGGGCAGCTTTTGTGTTTTGTGGCCTCCAGTTTCCAAGGCAACTGTACACCACCCGCTGTACCATTCAAGGAGGGTGAGCCAAGAGCCATCAGAGGTTGGCCCACTGGCTCCAGGAATCTAGGTCCCTGGGCCAATGGGAAATGGATGTAGACAGCGAGGCATGGGGGGACCTGGTCAAGTTGGAGCTCTGGTTGTGTATGAAGCTCTGCAAAGCCATGCCTGGTCCCACAAAGCCCTGGCCAAGGAAGTTATAGCAGGACCCTGAGGTGGCTATCAGAAGAGCCATGGCTTGACCCAGCCAGGCAGGGGTGAGGCTGAGAGCGGCTCCCACCCCCTGCCTGAAGTGGCCCTCCAGGGTCAGTTTTTAGGTTGAGCTGTGGCCTACTGGCTGCACTCCAAGACCAATGCCCTTACTTGGCACCCCCTTGCCACTGCCCGGACATCACCATAGACAACAGCTTCCAAGGCACGGTGGCGGCCCCTGGTGAGTACCACCTGTGGAGTCCCAGCATTGGGCAGAGGCACCCTGTGCCCCTCCCCAGTCCCACCTAGAGCAGCAAACCCACACTGCCAGTAAGGTGCCGGCTCAGCGACCCTTAGGTCAGGAGAACTGCTCCTCTGGGTTTCCAAGACGAACTCTCGAGGGGAGGAAAGGCCTCCGTGCTCCCTGCTCCCCAGACCTTGGGGATGAGTGCAGTGTGACTCAGGAGACTGCCCCAGGCTGCCACTCCATGGAGCCCCGGTCAGTACGGAAGCACCCCGACACACAATCCTGCCACCAAGAAGCAACTGTCCTCTGAACGGAGCCTTGGGATTCACCACTCCCTACCTTCTGGTCTTCCTGCCTCAGCCTCTTCGGGGCCATGGCTGCAGCATGCCAAGGGCACACCCCGACCCTGCCAGCTAGCAGACACCACTGAGGAGCTGCTCAGAGACAATGGTCTTTTCCCAGCTCTCCAAGCCACTAGCAGGCGCCCCCCCTCCCCCCAGCTCTGTGAAGGAGAGGTGGCAGCTGCAGAACTGTCAGTCCTCTCCCCAGGGCCTGGGCACCAGATGGCATCTTGGGTACAAAAAGTGAGCACAGCCTCCCCAGGCTCTAGGTACCAGCACTGGAGCAGGGGCTGAGGGGCAGGAACAGGAAGGCCAGCACAGAACAAGCTAGGGGCACCACTGAGGCCTGAGGTCTCCGCAGCCACGCATACTTTCCAGATGCAAGGGGGGAAGGCTTGAGAGAATCTGTCTGCTTTTCCCATGGTCCCTAGGATGCCCTCGCCCTCAGGTCCCGCCAGTGGGGCAAGAACCCCAGGGGATACAGGTAAGGAGACCTGGAGATGGTGGGAAAGGTATGGGCAGAGGTCCCGAGGCAGGGAGGAGGCTTCTGCATGTCTAGGACTAACTACACTGTGTGTGTGTAGGGGGGGGAACCACGACACTTAGAAGGGAGGACCAAAATAAACTGAGGCTGGATCACCTGACTTCCTTGGCATTTCTTGGTCACTGAGGTCACTTGTTCTGCGGGGGCCCACCCCGCAGCCACCACCTTCCCTGGTGGCAGCCAGCTCACCTGCCCAGCTATGATAGAGCTCAGGACAGGTGACCACTGATGCACAGCGCTCTGGGCTTGGCCAGCAGAGAGAGACTGGGGGGGGGTGGTGTCTTTGGAAACAAATACACATGCACAATGTGCAGTTGCAGCACCTGGGGACAGGCCTAGGAGCACCCCAGAACCTGCCTGGAGGCCCATCTGTTTAGGCAGAGGGCAAGATGGCAGAGCCCAGCTGAGGCAGCTTCCCTGCAACTCAGAACTGGCTCCCAAGGGAGACGGGTGCACACTTAGGACTCATTTCCGGGAAGGGACAGGAAATGAGCAGGGCTTCGGCTCTCTCACTCCTCCAGCTGCCACCAAGCTACGAGGAGGTCCTCCAGTCACAGCCTGCACCACCACCCAGCCCTGGCTCAGCCTCGCACAAGGCACCGCCACCACCACTGGGTGGGCAAGAACCGCCTCTCCATCCTGCCCATGCCCACACTCATTCCACCAGGGACCAGCAGGGATAGTGCTGAGCCTGTCAAGTCCCTTTGCCTAATAAGGACAGCCCGGCTGAGCCTCAGCACCTGTAGCCCCACTCCACAGACCCCAAGTGGCCTCTGCCAAGGAGCTGCAGGAGATGGAATCTGAAGCCATGGCCCAAGAGAACTAGGCAGAAAGTTCAAAGCAGACTGGGAGCCTTCTCTGTCCTCAGGGCACAGGGAAGTCCCAGAAAGGATGTCCTGGGACTCCAGAAGCCCCTCTCAGGAGGCCGCTACTGTCTGCCACCAATGACCCTCCCAGCTGCATCACTGTTCTGGTTCTTGACTCTGAAGCTCAGCTTCTAGGGGTCCTGGGGGTGCTGACAACGCACACTGGCCTCAGCCTACTCTAGTTTCCCCGGAGTTTTGGGGAAGCCACATTCGCGTGGCTGTTTATGGTTTGAGACACTTCAAGAACCATAGAGAATGTAGGGGTGGGATCTCCCCAACTCTGCCTTGCCTTCGAAGGGCCTGTTCTCAGGAGGATCTACCATAGGATCATCTCTGGGGGCCCAACTTCCTATGGCAGTGGCTCCAGGAGAGCAGGACTGCCCTCCCTTTACGGACCTCCTCCCCCCCGTCCGGCCCAGGCTCGGCCCTGGAAGCAGCTTGACACCCACTAACACATGTCCTCATCTTCCTTCCTTTGGAGGTGGGGGGTGGTGCCGAGGCAGCTTCCCCTCCACAGAAAGCCCCCTCCTTTCTGCTCGCGGTAAGCCCACATCCTGCTCCCGTTCCCTTGGCCAGTAGCCAAGAGCACAAAGCAGATCAGTACGGTGAGTCTGTCCAGGTGTGCCGGAACAGCACAGACTTATAACTCCAACTACTTTTATTTTTGGCCCAGCTTATGTCTCCCAAAGGGGGTTCCAGCTGCACGTCCTGCAGAGTCACCACCAAGCAGACTGCCTCCATGGGAGGCCTCGCCATCATCCACACTGCTTCTGATACTGCCCTCTCTGGGCACCTGGGATCCTGTCTCTGTCCAGCATCCTCAACCAGGAGCTCAGAGCATAGCTACCAGCTTGAAGGTACCCTCAGGCTTGGTGGGAAGCACGTGGACAAAAGTCTTATAGAGCACAGCACCCTTGGGCAGCCTGGTGACCAGATCCATGGCTTCTGCGTTGTTGGGGCTGGGCACATAGACGTCCTTCGTGTAGTGGACTATCCCATCTTCTAGGGCATACAGGCACTTCCTCTTCCCCAGCCCCACCTGCAACATAGAGACCAGTCAGTTGGGGGGACAGCTAGGCGGTCACTCCCAAGGCTTCTGGCTTGAGGTCCAGGGTGGGCTCTGAAAGCTCCAGCTGACAGGCACAGCCGGGCCTTTGTTACCCTCCTGAGTTCACGACAGAGAAGGGAAAAGACCACTGTTGGGCTCCTGGTGGCTGCTGGGGCCGGGCACGGGTGGCAGGTATGTGGGATAGACCCCAATCCACACCCAGGAAGACGTCCCAATCACTGCCTCTGGGAACCTGTTTCTCTCCCCACTGGAGCTGTCCCACTGAACCCTACTCTGGATGTCTTTTGATTGCCATTATGACTGTAAGGCGCAGGCTCCACACAAAGAACGGACCAAAGCTATGTGAATCATACACATGCCAATAACTGCTGACTCGTGCAAGCACTGTTCCATGCACACTCATGTACATGGAGTCATGTAATCTTTACACGGGGACACTGCTACTTCTAGCCCAACTTGACAGATGAGCAAGATGAGCCGCAGTGGTTACATCACTTAGGTGCTGCAGGAAGATACAGTTTTTAAAACTGCATCTTAGCTTTGATTGTCCTTAGAACTTGAGATCTACCATGTTTGCCCAGGCGGTCCAGCACGGTCTCTGGCTCGAGCACCGGGCTGCCTGCCTCCAATCTCAGCACTGCTACGGGTAACTATGTGAGCTTGGGCCATCCACTCTACTTCACTATGCTTCAGATCTGCCACCGCCAACACGGAGCGATTACTTCCAGGGTCATTTCAGGGTTAAGCAAGTTAAAAGCCACAAAGAGCTTAGCAGACTGTCCAACTCAAAACATTTCACCTGCATTGTTGCTGTTACCTCAGCAAGTCCAGGAAGCAAGCATCCAATGCCTCACCTTCAAAAAACTGAACCGACCTTTACCATAAATCCACACTCAGCATCCTGAAACAGAGGCTGACACCAGCCTTTCTGTGCTCACTAAAACAACAACAAGGCGGTAGGAGGCAGATTGACTACAAAGGACACTAAACCAACATTTCAAATCATGTGAAGGACAGAGTTCTGGAAGTCTTCTCAAAGTATTCCCAACTGACTGAAATGAAAATCCCTGCCTAGTGTATGCTGCATTACATCTTATTAAATCCAAGCTGTCTTTTAAGCAATCTAATAATGAATTTATGCAAAAGGAGACTTTAGAAATAAGAAAACAAACAAATTGAAATTCTTTTCTTGTGATTCTAAAAAAAACAAAACCCCAAAGTTTACCTGAAGCCACTAGGCATCTCCTTCTAGAACTGGGTTCCACAAGAGAACAAAGAAAGCCAGCCCCCCTATGCTACACCTGCTCTCCAGTGAGTCTGGCTCAGCCACCGACGACAATCCCTCCCCAAGAGGAGGCTCAGATGAAATGAGGTGATGTAGACTGTGCGCGTTGATGCTTGGCATTTGGTAAGAGCCTGATGTTGTCCTCAGGTACAGAGAAGGGGTCTGAGAAAAACAAGGGGACCACAGAGCAACTCACGTGGGCTCCCGGGTGCCAACGGAACTTGCGCTGAGTCCCCAGGATGTTGCCAGCATGAACGTAGTGCCCTGAAAGAGAAGTGCACAGAGAGATTAACTCAAGTCCCCCTGTTCCTGCAGCACAATACACGCCAAGAACCGTGGCCATTCTCGCCTTCCTTGCTCAAGTGCTGCCTACAACCCTGGTCAGAAACAACGGCAGCGGAGTCCAGTACAGGCAGCCTGGCCCCCACCCCTCTGCTCCTGTCACATAGCCTAGGTCCACATTTGTCTGCTCCTCTGCCTGGACCCAACTCCTCAAATTCCCTGGTGAGATGGGCAGTGTACAGCGCAACACACCCCATGCTTTCTCTGCTCTCCTGAGCAGCAGCACGGGGGGAGCAGGGCGGGTGTGGCTGGGACACACGGCTGAGGAGGGTTCTCACCTTCCATTTTCTTGATGCCAAAGTGTTTGCCGGGTGACTTTCCACCAAGGTTTTTGGAGCTTCCACCTGTCTTCTTTGATGCATACCTGACAGCGAGCGCGGGCGCCTGGAGGGGGCTCAACAGGGCTGTGAGGGCAGAGGGAGAACAGAAGCACACTTCAGATACAGGCTCCCGGCCCAGATGCTCTTTCTTGGCCTCAATGGCCCATTTGCTGCGAGGTGGCAAGGGAGGTAAGGGACATATAAGGGGAAGCAGACATGCCACAAGTGTGTTGATTTTCAGGGAGTGTCCAGACGTCATTGGCCTTCTCCAAGGGAACAGCTCGTTCCTTATGGTGTCTGTGGTGTAACCACTAGGTAAGGTGGGAGGTAGTGGGGAGAAAAGCGTGGAAGGTGGTAGGGAAACAAACGGGGGAAAAAACAAAATAAACACCATGTACCCCCGATCCTGACAAACTCAGCCCTGCAGGGAGGAAACACAGAAATAGCAGTAGGCAGCAAAGAACACCACAGAGCAGGCTGGTCCAGCCCCACACCCCACCATGCCCTCCTGGCCAGACCACAGAGCCCAGCAACGGGACACCCAGACAGACCTCCGACTCCAGCCTCAGTCATGAGCGCCTTTTTGAGCTACCTGCCATCCACTGCACACCAACACGCCAGACACTTGGAAACAAAAACACGGCCTTCCCCACGGGCACCTGGCCATTTCAGAAGGCTGGATCCTTCCTTCCCCAAGCCCATCAAGCAGAAGTTCAATGGAGAAGACCACACAGCCCACCTTGGTTAATATCCTCTCTGCACACTCGGGCGGAAGTGTTCGGTGGCACTGATTTTAAAAAGGAAAAGCAACAAAACGCCACGTTGCCCAAGGTGGCCCCCCTTTGTTGTATGGCAAGGCCAGGCCTGGCAGGCTTTGCCTTCGTGTCTCCAGACACAACAGTTGGTTAATCAGGGCCAGAGACTAGGTGGGGCCAAGGAACTGGGACCTAAACCAGCAACACCAGTCACTGCCATCAAATCCATTTCCGGTCAGTGGTCCTTTTGGGCAGAGCAGAACTGCCCCTTTGGGTGTCGAGGCTATATGTTTTTACGGAGGCAGAAAGTCTCATCTTCCTACGGTGGAGCTTTGGCTACTGGGTGTGGGCTGTTGACCTTGAGGTGGACCACCCAACCTGTAACCTACTGCCCCGCTAAGGCCACTTGCACTGGAACCTACTTACCTTAAAATTCCTGGGGAAAAATTTTTTTTAAACAAACAATCAAAACCCTGTTCCCTCTCTTACTCAATACAGTCAGGCCCAGGGCTTTATGATTTACCTAGTCTATTTAATTCACAAACTGACTGCCCCTCCTCATCCTCAACATAAATGGGGCCACCATCTACCCGACTGCTCTGGTAGAACCAGAGTCGTTGCGATTCCGTGCCCTTGCTCAACTCCATGTCCAGTTCACTAGCAAGCTCTGTTGCTTCTACCTCTCACCCTATCTACCTCTAGCCCTCCAAGTTCACTGCCACCTCTTCCATCCGGTGCTAAATCATCTCTCACTGAAGCGCCTCTAAGTTTTCTACTTTGTTTCCTCATTTCCGCTCCTGTGCCCTTTAAGTCGGCACAACTGCAAGATTGGCTTCTCGGAGGGGAAAACTGGGTTAAAGTCACTCTTGGATCTCATGCTACAAGACCCAGGTGAGAGCTTAATGTCTATCTCCGCCTTAAGGAGCTTCCTTGACCACCCAATTACAACCGCCAGCTGCACACGCCTTTCCCCGGTTTCCA